TAGGTCAGGCTGTAACTGTGCTGCGGCAGAGAATGAGGAAGGGATTTTTTTCTTTAAATTCAAGAAAGGCCTTCCCAGCTTCCAATGTTCCGCATCCTAAATTTCATAATCTTAGGATAAATCTCAGAGGATTAGCAGCAAAGGTTCCAAAATCATCATGACGACATTTCCGGAAATGCTCTTGCTACTCTACATGGTTCTTTGGCTGGCTGCAAAGCAACCGCTCAGTGCTGTTTGGAGTCACAAAACCACTACATTTAAGGAAAAATACATGGCCTCACACCAGCCTATTGTCCACTCCGGCAGAGATATCTGAACATTCCAATCTGGCTCCTATTTACTCTGGCCTGTCCCCAGGTTCCATATTAAATTTTTAATTTGTAATATGTATTACAGGCAAATCTCCATACTTCACACATCCGGGTAATTGCTTTTTCGACTTCCCGTTCTGGGGATTGGGAAGTTTGCTTGTATGCCCACATCGTACTGCCTCAGATGTGCAAATACAAGCTGCTTTGGGATGTAATGCTGTACAGATCTTGGAGTAGCTCATGACAAATCCTCCCTCCCACTTCTCCCCTCCAGGCCTGCAAGTGTTTTGACATCCTTGCCAACTCCTATTTTTATATGGCCATTTTCATGACAAGATCTTCCTGCTGGATGCTGTGCTAGATGTATTGGGCCAATATTTTACTTTACAAGTCTATCAGCTTACATACCAGCCTACAAATGGAACATTCACTGAAGACCCTCTATGAACACAGCATCCTTGAAAGAATGCCTGCCTCTTGATACTCACTATATAGGCTATACTTACAAGTACCCAACAGGTACAACAAGTACCTGCATTTAACCAGGCGACATGAACTAGCAGGAGTTTCTAAAGCAATAATCACATTGACTCCGTGACAGAGACCTGCCATGCCTTACATACTCTCTCCCCCAGCTCCACATGCATGATGGTTCCGAATAAAATGCTGTTTGGTTTGGCCTACATCGGCTTTTCACCTCTTGCTTGTTTTCACCCTCATCTGTTTCAGCTTTGAGTCCGAGACCAGGTGGTGTCCACTCTGCTGGCAACAGACTGCATTCGGCCTACTGCTGTTGATTTCTCTTCATTTTCTCAAGGGCGTTTGACACTTTATGGCCTCCAGCCAGACCACCTTAGGCTGTCACCTCACAACCGAGGCAGCGCTGGGCTCAGCTAATGCTTGACTAGGAGAAATCCCCACATTCCCGCCAGGAAGCCTCAGGCTGCTACAGGGAGCAGCGTTGGTGACAGCGCTGGCCTGGAAAGAACATGGCTGCAGCCCACACAATTTGCAGGGGGGGACTAAGGAACAGAAAGGAGAATCTCAGCTTTTATTTAAAAACAAACGAATAAACTTTCCAGAGTTTTTCCTTGCAAAAAGCCTTGAAAATAGTAAAAAGAGCAGTGCTAAACAGCCCGGGGCCCAAGTCTCCTTAAGCAACCTTTTCCACGAGCTCCCCCATTGTGGACACTCCAGTTTACAGTTTAACTCTTTGAGGACAAGCAACAGCGTCAGCAAGGAACAGCACATACAGTAGAACCTCAGAGTTACAAATGCCTCGGGAATGGAGGTTGTTCGTAATGCTGAACAAAACGTAACAGTTGTTTCTTCAAAAGTTTACAACTGAACATGGACTTCATACAGCTTGGAACTTTACTATGCAGAAGGAAAATGCTGCTTTTAACCATCTTAATTTAAATGAAACAAGCACAGAAAGTTTCCTTACCTGGTCAAATTTTTTTTTTTTGTTAAACTTTCCCTTTATTTTTTTTAGTAGTTTACATTTAAACACAGCACGGTACTGTATTTGCCTTTTTTTCCCTCTCTTTTCTTTCTGATGCTGCCTGATTGCGTACTTCCAGTTCCAAATGAGATGTGTGATTGACTGGTCAGTTTGTAACTCTGGCGTTCATAATTTTGAGGTTCTAGTATACCTACACTTTACTCTGAGACAACACAGGCAATACACAGAGCTACTGAAAAACAACAAAACCATGCACCCACACCCCTTTGGGATGTGAGCAGTGTCACAGAATCATAGAATATCAGGGTTGGAAGGGACCTCAGGAGGTCATCTAGTCCAATCCCCTGCTCAAAGCAGGACCAATCCCAACTAAATCATTCCAGCCAGGGCTTTGTCAACTTCAAAGGAAGGAGATTCCACCACCTCTCTAGGTAACCCATTCCAGTGCTTCACCACCCTCCTAGTGAAAAAGTTTTTCCTAATATCCAACATAAACCTCCCCCCACTGCAACTTGAGACCATTACGCCTTGTTCTGTCATCAGCTACCACTGAGAACAGTCTAGATCCAGCCTCTTTGGAACCCCTTTAAGTAGTTGAAAGCAGCTATCAAATCCCCCGTCATTCTCCTCTTCTGCAGACTAAATAATGTCTCTTCAGGGTCCTAGAACCCTCTTCTCTACCTTCTCCCCCTGGTCTGTCTTGCCTGTTTCTGGTCCCTTTTCTCTCTAACATGGCTGGTGAGAGAATCCTCCTTTTATAAAGTTGCAATCCCTTGTGTCAGGTGATGCTTCTGGTCAGCCTCAAAGCATCCCCCAATAAGAGATCAAGGTCCGCTCTCAGGTGATTTGTTGGTTGGTTACTGGCTCACCGGAAAGGAATCTCACTGTCCAAGGATGCTTGCATTTGAATAGGAGACCCTCCAAGTTAATGACCTTTGATCCCTTTGCATTGTTCACCCTCTGTTGGAATTGCAGTACAAGATGAAGGCAAAAAGATCGCAGGGAAGAGACCGTACAGTGTTACAGCCAAAATGGTGCTCACAAAACAAAATGGGCTTAGTAATTTGATATACATACATATATGAATCGTCACACCATGTATTTACATGGAATAATTTTTTACAAGGCATTATTAGTAGGAACCTGGGTAAACACAAGGGGTGGGCCATTTGCTCCCCTTTTCACATAGCCGGACTTCCTACAGTCCTAGTATCCTCTCCTTCTGATCATGACCCATTGCAAAATGAGTGCTAAATTTCCCTTAATAAATTAACCTGGTGGGTAACATTATCAGGCTTCAACCCAGTTTAACAGCTTGACATGTGGTTTAAATAAAAGAAAACCTAACGTTCTTCGTTTCTCCAGCTAAAACTACCCTCGGTTTGGCTCAGGTGCCTTTGGAGGGTGAATAAGAGGTTCATTTATTCTTGTCATTGTCCACACAATTCCATTAAACAATTATATACAGTAGAACAGGATTGGCCAGAATCTTAATGGGATTTACTGGCTTTAGCTTAGCTACCAAATATCTGTTATTGTAGGTAATGAATATTCAACAGGAACATAAAAAGTTGGAGGCTATAAGCATTCGATCAAAGAATTTCTGAACAGATTCTTCCTAAAGGACACAATAGTGGGATTTGATCAAGACACTCCTGCCATTTAGGAGAGCGGCTAGCTGCAGAAATGTTTGATCCTAAACACTATACAGGGTAATTGAGACTCAATGCAATCATTTTGATTTTAATGGAAGGGAAGAAAAGGTTCACAGCCCACACACATTCAAGTGAACCTTAATTTGGTAGGCAGTGAATTGTTGATAACCTGCTTTGGGTTAAACCCAGTTTAAACTGAGAGTGTGGAAATCTGAACAAATTACAATTCCATTATCAAAGGGAAGAGCTGAATGAATAGTTCATACAAAGGACTTATCCAGTGACGTTCGCCTCTTATCCTGCATATGGAACACCACAAGCAGCTTGGGATTTTGCTAGTTGAAAGTATCTGACAGATTATGTTTTGCAAATCTTGGTTTAACTATGAATTGATCAAGTTCCTTACGACTATCCCAGAGTCAGCGTTCAAGGTGTGTCAGTTGTGACTGATCTGATAAATCAAATATTATTTCTGTCCCAATTGAACAAGTGTGCAAGTACCTCCTACCTATTCAAATCTAAAATTCAATTTCACATCTGATTCTGAAATTTGACTGCAGTGAATAGTCAACTCGAGTGCCTAAATGACTGCAAAAAAAATTAACACGGAAAGGTGTAACCACCACCTGGACTGAAACACACCTGAACTTTGATGGAAATTTGGATCTGGATGTGAACCTCACAGCTGACTCTCCTGTTGGAACCAATTAAAACTAGATCTGAATACTCCTATATTTTGGAAAAGTGTGGATCTAGATCTGAATTTGGTTGGGCCAACTCTACTTTTCATACATATCTTCTGCCCTACATCTCAACATGTTATATGAAGACTATTTAATAGGAGTAAACCTGGACCTTGTTAAAAATGCTACAAGAGACAATCAGCATCATGAGGCAGAGCGCTCGAGAACACAGTCTGGGAAGTCCTAAGTCCTATTCCCAGATCCGTCCTTGGACACAACAGCCAACGTTTTCAAAACTAGGCTCTTGGACGCCTACCTTTAAGTCCATATTTAGGCACCTAAGTAAGTGGACTGAGGAACTGCTGGGTGCTTAGCAACCTTGAAAAGTCAGATTATTGTTTAGGTGCCTAAATATGCACCTGGAAGCCTAACTTTAGGGCAAGACTTTGAAAAATGGGTGTCTATGTATATAAAGGATAAATTCTGCTCTCAGTTACACCAATATAAATATGGAGTAATTCCACTGATTTTAAAGTCCACAGAGTTACTATGGAGTTACACAAGTGTAAATGAGAACAGAATTGGTCCCTAAAAATAATCAGTCATCTCAACTAATGAGGTTTCTTTCTACTATTTGCATTAAATATGGTTTTTAGGTATGTGTGAAGAGTCAAACAATAAAGATCTCTCTGCACTGAAATGGCTTCTCAAGAAAGCATCCTAAAAATTAACAAGTTCATCAATTTAACAGCTCCTGAGATGAACTGGAGTTAGGAGATCATAACAGTCACACCAAACCAGTAATTTCACCTGTGAGCATTTAAATCAAGGCAACAACATAAACATGGCATCTGTAAATGGCGGAAACTTAAGAGTCAACTCTTACTTGTGCCCAAGTTCGTGTGCAATGGTAAATGCCAGATTGAGACCATTGTCTTCAGCAAGGACACACTTTCTCTTGGCACTACATACACCTCCCAGGTAAGCGATCCCTGCAAAAAAGGCACAGAGAACATTCCCATCAGTGCTGGCAAAATGTCTCACACTTTCAAAACCCAGAGAAGTCAGCCAGCCATAAAGAAGTAAAACATCGATGCGGTACTGGAGAATAGTACAGCAATTTGTTCACAAACTCATCTGATGATCTTCTTCAGCATCCTCGTTCAGAGTGAAACCTTCCAGCCTATTTTTTCATCACATAGAAATCATTCCAATTAGGCACATTCCCCCTTGCTGGAAAATATATTTAATGATTAGCAGAGACTCAGAAGCCCAGGTGAGCTTCTCTACAGAACCTGTAGCAACTGGCAGGGCACTGCTAGGTGTCCTCAACAGGCTTTTAAGTGGAATTTTCGGTTCACCTACAGTATCCTGTTAGAGAAACACAATTAAACAATACAACCAGAGCTACTTAGAAAGATCTTAACCATTCCCTTTGTTGCCCATTCATTCTCATGCTTACTGATGGGGTCAGAGTCAGGAAAGCTGGCACACTGTATACAATGAAGAACAAAGTTAATGGAGGTGGCAAAAATCTTCTAATGATCTGATGGAATTTAGGACTTGATCCTACAAATGCTTACTCACAGGAGAACTCTCACTAGCTTCTATGGGGCTGCTTGCATGAGTGAGGGTTTATAGGACTGGGTCCCAGTATTGATTGTAGGGCATTTTTCACCTCTCTGCAATGTGAACTCCCAGTTAGAGCAATGGGATTTTTGTAGAAAGACTGAGGGCTACAGTGGAACATGGCCTGTGTGGTCAAAACTTTTCCTTGGCTACCGCTGCTGAACAAGCAAATCTGAAATCCAATAGAAACATTCCAAGTGTTTGCATGCAAAGCAGGATTTCACAAATAACATGCAGCTAACTAAATGCTGAGGATCAAATTTCCACTTTAATTAGGATCTTGCACAATGCGAGGAAAAAGGGGAAGTGCACAGACCTTCAGTAATTGCATTTTAATTTTTTCAAGGCTTAGATTTTTTTTTTAAACTAGGAGACAAGGGATCTATTTACTTGCAGTTAAGTGCTGCTCCCACACAGAGGTGGCTTGGGGTTCAGCTGCCTTTAATAATTAGAGTAAAACAATAACAGCAGCTGTGCTATAGAAGCAGGACCATATTTTTCCTCAGATCATCAAAGCACACCGTGTCTTAGTTTATCGGGACAGAAATTGTGTAGAACTTTATGATTATGTTTGGAAGGTGTCCCTTCCTATTTTGTATGAGTTTTGACAAGTAATATCGCTATTTATGTGCAAGAGGGTTTTGGATGGAATGGTGAGGTGGGTAACTGACTTAAATGTTTGCATTATTAGTGGGAATGGGGGAGAGAGAACTTATTCAAAATGTGCTGAGTGTAGACCAAGAGATTTCTAGCAGATGCAAAAATAAAATCAGAATAAATTCCTATTTTATTCTTCAAGTATCAGAGGGGTAGCCGTGTTAGTCTGGATCTGTAAAAGCGGCAAAGAGTCCTGTGGCACCTTACAGACTAACAGACGTATTGGAACATGAGCTTTCGTGGGTGTATACCCACTTCGTCGGATGCACGTAGTGGAAATTTTCAGAGGCAGGTATAAAAATGCAAGCAAGAATCAGACTAGGGATAACGAGGTTAGTTCAATCAGGGAGGAGGAGGCCCTCTTCTAGCAGATTCTTGTTAATCAATGGCTATAGGACTAGATTCTGGAATCTCTTCTCACATAGAATGGCACTTCATAAGTAATCCCACTGAAATCAATGGGAAAATTTATGGTGCAATGTGCTATTCAAAGTAAGGGAATGAGAATTTACCCCACAGAGCCGATGGTAGAAGAAAACCTCAGAGCATGTAGATGTGTGCAACATATCCCAGGCTTCTAATCTTCCTGAAGGGAGAAATACATAATTCACTATATTTAAATCCACCACCATGCACTCATATGGCACTGTCTAAACAATAATACACTTACTGATTACAGTCTACTCCTTCTCAGCTGACTTGGAATCAGCCATTTCTGGAAATATTTTCTGCACACAGGAAGGGGCAGTTTGGGAAAATTCTAATTTACTGTAAAACCAACAATGGAAGGTGTGGGACTAAAGATCAGCTGCAAGGCTTCGGGTTAGAGGAAGAGAAAACTGAATAGCTCATAGTCACTGAAGCTGGAGATGGAAAGGATGTATCCGATGAGCCAGGCCACCCTCTGCTAGTGTAGATCTGTGCCTTATACTGTATTTTTGAATTCTTAAATCCTCTCCCAGTATTTGAATAACTCAGCTGGTGCTGAGAAGGAGGCATCCTTCGTCCAGGCTGCTGGGCTGCTCTGAAGCTGCTACTCCAGCAGAAGGGATGCTGTGTCACTGATCGGGGCAAGGGACTGGAGGGTCCACAATGGCAGACTTTTGGGGCCCTCTGTACTCCCCTAATATGCATGTGCATGCACACACAGACACACACCTTCCACCTCTCTGTATTGTCCATAGGAGTTGCCCTGTAGCTGGGGTGCATGCCATGCAAAAGGTGCACACCCCTTATATCGTCTCCCCCAGTTGACCCACCAGAGAGAAATACAACTGTTCTGTTGCAGGCGGGACCTCTCTAGAATTATCCCCTAACAGTAAGACCCTGCAGAGTTTTCAATCCAGCCCCATTTCTGCCACAATAACTGAAAAGTTGGAAGTTGCACTATGCCCAAAGGTTGGTAAATCAAGGCTCTGGCAGACCAAGGAAGGACCAGAAATTGCCGTGCCAGTAGCCCCCTTTTTGTACCAGCATGGTCACTTATCATACCGGTCCACTGCCAAAGATAGCAGGTAGGATTTCAAAAGGCTCTCATCCTAAAGGCAGTTACTCGGGAATTATGCTAAATAAGGGCTCTGACTCAATGAAGAATTACCATATTGCATCTCTTATAAATCAGCTAAAACTTAATACAGCGGAGTGGGGAAAGCTCAATGCATCACCCTGGGGCAAAGCTCAAATCGTCAGTTGGAGTTACAAAGTTTAACTATCTAGGGTGAAATCCTGACCCCACTGAACTCAATGGCAAAACTCCCACTCATGTCAATGGGCACAGGATTCCACCCCTAGGCTTTAAGAATCTGATCTGAAGTCAGTGGAAAGACTTACTGACTTCAGTGGATTTTGGATCAGGCCTCGTTATCTACAGTGAGAACTAAGAAAATATGTAAGGACACCAAAAAGGAGATTTGATCTTTTACTGGGGTGATAAGATAAATAGAATTAAAGGGTGAGCATGACAATCACCACAACAGCATGGAGGGATGAGGGGTCACCACAGAAAGGATTCTATAAGTTGGCAAGTGGCAAAGAGTCCCTAGAACTTCATGTGAGTTTGCGCAATACCCTTAATGACCAGGATGCTTTTAAAGATAGAGTCAGTAAGAAAAGTTTAGGAAGCATACTTCCTCTTAGCGAGCATACAATTCCTATTACCAGGAACTGCTGTGATGGAACGATATGGCATGACGGAAGCCACAAAGACTATTCTGTTCCACTCCTGAGAGGTCTTGTCACTGTCCTGCATGGAATAATTCTAGAATATAAACTGACAGCTGGATGATACAGTGCTCGCGGCAATCAGCTGAAATCAAGATACTATAATAAGGAATTTATAAAAAGATGTGGGATGAAATTCAGCTCTTGCTGTAAGCGGATTCTACTCTACTGAAATACACCATCGCTGAATCTGGCCCAGGGTTTTGAGAACATTTCAACAATTGCAAGTACAGTTGAGAGTGAAATGATCAAAGTAATGGAGTTACTTAAAGCCAGGCAATGTTTCGTTCAGACCACTAATCCTGAATCTTCCCCATTAATCTCCCAATTATCCATCCTGAGCAGAAAAATATGTCTCCTCAAATTAGCCAAGTCTTTAAGATAGCATATACCATAACTCCATGGAACAGCTGTTGCATGAGAATATCACATCTATACCTCAATGGTCAGACACACAAGCAAGTTTAGATAGTTTTAAATGATTTTTGCTTTACATTCTGATACCACTTAAATTTCACAATGAGGGGCTCATTGAAAGCGCTGCTCTAGAATGGAGTGGGGCAATATTTCCATATTTCAGCGGTTCTCAAACTTCATTGCACCGTGATCCCCTTCTGACAACAAAAATTACTACATGACCCCAGGAGCGAGGACCAAAGCCTGAGCCAGCTCGAGCTCCACTGCCCCGAACTGGGGAGCCAAACCGAAGTCCAAGGGCTTCAGCCCCAGATGGTGGGGCTCAGTCTTCAGCTTCAGTCCTGGGCCCCAGCAAGTCTAACGCCAGCGCTGGCAACCCCATTAAAACAGGGTCACCATCCACTTTGGGGTCCTGACCCACAGTTTGAGAACCCCTGCCATATTTGGATGAGGTGGGCTGGTAGAAAAGGCTATAGTTTTTGGCAATAAGTTAGAGAGGATAAATCTCAGTTAAAAAGCTGAACACAATGTAGAGGCCTCAAATGGCAATCCTCCACGAGGCTGGAAGGCTGCTCAGCAATTCTAACCGCCACTGGAAGTGATCGGCAACAGCACTGTAATGTGCTAAAGGCCTCATTATTAGATGGTGGAAAACTAGAGAATTGCCAGTGATTAAGGATACGTAAACACAGATGGCCGAGAGAATAATATGATTCACGTAAAGAGATTAAGTGTTCCCAGTATCCACACGGATTCTATTCGGCCACTATATAATACTGGCAATAACCAACATTCCAAAACTGGGGTGACTTACAGCTACTTCATTATTATTATTATTAATTATGGTTATCACAGTAGTGCCTAGGGACCCACCAAGTTCAGAGTCCTATTGAGGTAGGGACTGTACAAACAAAGTAGCAGACAGCAGAAAATTTGACACCTAAAAAAATCCATAAGAATCTTAAATAAAAGTTTTGGCTTTCAGAGGCTCGGAGCACCTGCAGATTCAAGAGTCTTTCTGGAGCATCAGTATTAGAGCTGTTGGAAAAAATTAAAACTTTTAAAAACG